CCCCAGTCCTGTTCCTCTCCCTCTCCCCCAGTCTCTCTCCTCTCTCCCAGTCCCATCCCTCTCCCACAGCCCCATCCTTCCCTTGCTCTGCCCTGGCCTCTCCCTGACCACCTTTGGGTGCTACTTCAGGACATTAACCAGGCAGAAAACCAACACCATTTATCCTCCCAGGCTGTTTTTGCACAGGTTGTGGATTTGAGGAAAGCAGCAGGGAAGGTTTGGAATGCCAAGGATGCCCTGAAAGGACCAGAAGTTCCAGTACCTGCAGCACCTGTGGCCAGAACATGGTGAACCTCCTGCACAACTCCAACATCACAACTTCTGGCAGCATCTGACACCTGTCTAAAGCCTTTTTTTGAGCTTCCTGCTGCAGTTCAGGTTGTATCCTGGGAACTAGCTCCAATTCCAGCCAGGATTCCATAACACACAGTCCCTGGACACAGCTGTGCCTCCCTGGCTCTTCACCAATCCCCCTGGACACTGCTGATCCCTGAGCTGAGCTCTTCAAAGGTCTGTCCTGTCCCCAGGGGGTTTTCCATGAGGGAACAGCTCCAGGCCAGCAGCACACACAGAGCTTCGATTGTTTTCTCCAGCAGCAAAGTTTTGCAATCCTTTCCAAAGAATTCCCTCTGCCATTTCCTCCCTCAGTCATTCCAGAGGACCATCCACAGGACCTTTTTGTCCCTTATTCTTCCCATCAGCCTTTGTCACCTTCATTTTCTCTATGCTTTGCTTGAGCAGCACAAGCCTGAGAATAAATCCTTCACCCTGGATCCTTTGTTGCTCCAGCTTTTCTCTTTCCTCTTCCCAAGACCTTTCTAAGGCTCCCTCATTTCCTGATGACTCCTCACTGGACCTGAGCCAACCCCTTTGGAAATCCAGGTAGAGCACCATGTCTTCCTTACTCCTGTGCCTTTTTGGCTGCTGCAAAGACTTTTGGTTTGGGAGACTTTAAATCCCTGGATTTGTCCTGTGGAGGTGCCTGAACCAGCCCTGGAAACACAGACTTTGATCCCTTCTGGGCTTTGGGACCTGCTCCTTGGAGGGGGAATGGGAAACCAGCACCATGGAGCTCTTTCCTTCCCTTCTCCAACCCTCCAGCAGCAGCTGAAGCAACAAATATTCCTCCTGGACTTCTCATTTTTTGGTCTTACTACCAAATATTGGGAGAGAAATCACCACCAGGATGGTTTGGAGTTGGGTTTTATTGAGGATTTACAAACTCCACATTCATTTTCACTTTTATTCCATGTGTTCTAGTTGAATGTCAGGCTTATTTTTTTTTCCCCTGCTTTTTCTTACTGGGAAAGTAATTCTAGAAGTTGTGGGGTTGAACACTGAGGATCCTATTTCCTGCCTTGTTCCTTTTTTCCATTCCTAAACAACCCAAGGAATACACGACATCATCTGGGAGTTGAGATTCCTAAGTTGGGGCTTCACTGTTTGACCTCAAGCAAGAAAAATTCACCATTTACACTCTGGGAATTAACAACCACACACACCTCAGCCCCAAGAAATCACACCCAAACTCATCCCTGATCCCAGCACATCCCAAGTTTTTCTCCTCCAACTGTTGTGCTCTTGGAGGAGTCACATTTTCCAAGCAACTCTTT